TTTCTGTGTGATTTCTGCTATAAGACTGCCAAACCAAAAGATATAGCTTTTCTTTTTCTTGGAATAACATTGCCTTGTTTTCCTTATTGATTTATTCTTTCATTCTTTAAACTTTTCCTATATATACTTTTTATTTTTCATTTAATTTTCACTCTTTCTTTCTCGAAATTCTTTTTTTAAAATAAAAATATTTCTTTTTTTTCCTCCTCGTTCAACTATTTATTTAAAATGAAAATATGTTGCTTATTTTTCTTCAAGGATTTTCGGTTCATGAAATGATTCGATCTTTGGATTATATAATTATATTAAGACAAAATTATTTTTGTTTTTGAACTTATTTTTATTTCAATTTCTTGTTTATTGCAAAGTTATTTTGATCATCAATCCTTCAAAATTTATTTTTCTTTTCTTTTTCTAATTTTTTTCTTTAAATGTTTTTGGTTCATGCTTTATTCTGGGATCCTTCTGTCAGAAAATCTACAAACCATTTCATAATCATTTGTGACATTTTTCCAGCAAAATTTCATATAACGGTTTTTTGGGTATATCATATATGTTCATCAATTAAATACCTTAAATTTATATTTACAATTTTTATATTTCTTTCCATGGTATTTAACATTTGTAATAAACAAAATAGTCTCGTTATATAACAGCACTTGGTTATAAGTTCATGGTCTATTTGCAAAATCTTGATATCTCGTCTTCTTCCCATCTCTTCGCGTTTTATGTTCTTTTTATCTTCTCAAAAGGTATATGTCAAATGTTCATTGGGTTCAGGAAAAAAAAGTTTTCTTCAAATCCCTTTCCCCTATTTATTCTTAACCATGTTTCACACATTTTTTGTTCTCTCTCCAGAATTCTACATCTCATATCAAAATTATGTCATGGTTTTTAAAAACTAAATCTGACACATCTCATGTTTTCTTTAACAATGCTTTTTTTTTTTTCTCCATGGGGGGCAGAATTCATATAAAACGTCTAACCAGTCTGAGAAATCATCCAACTCCCCAAAACTTTAAACACATAAGCATCATTTTCGTTCCTAGATTTCAGCCCAATCTCTTTTCAACTTCCCAATTTTGTCTATCATCTTTGTCTAAAAAAACCTCAGACAATGACAACATTTTTACTGCCAACTATTCTTCATTAATCAAAACTATTATTCACCATTTGAAATCTATCTATCTTTCTATTGTTTTCAATTTTTTAGATTCACAGAAAAGGAAATAGACATCCCCACCTCTTAAAACTGATTAACATCGCCTCTTTTGAATCAATGAATTTTATTTTATCAAGTCAAAACCCTCTGTTCCACTTATCGAGCAATTTAATTATCGTATGCTGATTAATAAAATCAAGAGTCAATTGATATTATGTTTGATATTTAGGATGGATAACGGTTGAACTGTAGATTAAAGAGTTCACATTCCATATGATTGGAGATCGTCCTCTTCAATATCTTATTTTGAACTTTTCTCTAAATGGAATTCAAAGTTGGCCTGGTGGGTATCAAATTTGCTATTCTGGACTTTTGGTCAAAGAAATTTTTTTCTTTTATATTTATAATTCTTATTTTAACCTGCTTTATAAAACATAATATGTACCTTTTTGAAAGTTCTGCCTTTATGTGGTATGAAAATCTTTATTGGAATTTCTGAATATTCAAAAAGGAAAACGGGCAATCAATCTAATCATTAGTTTAAACTGCTCAGATATTTTTTCTTTAATTTGTTAGTTTCTTTTTTCATCATTTTCCCAAGAAATTTTTTTTTTTAAAAAACATTAATTAAAATTTTTATTTCTAATTTCCAAATTTTTTCTGATAATATTTAAACAAGAAAAAATTACACACTTTTCCTTTTCTAACCGACGGAGGTTCCATTTTGAACATTTCAGCTAAAAACATCAAAATAGTTTTTGCCTTCCTGCAAATGATTCTGTTCCTTGAATTTTCTTTAATATTTCCAATTTGCAATTTTCATTGGAAATGACTGTTGAAAAAACAATATCGCAAAATCTCTCAACATTTTTAACAAGGAAAAGAATTTTCAATGATTTTTATTCTTCTTTCATGGATCTTTTGAAACTTTTTTCAAAATTCTTCATCTTCCTACCTCTTAGTAAAATTTTGTATTTTAATCTTAAAAATTATAATTCAAGATTATTTTTAAAACCATGTGCATTTTTTCAAACATTAAATTTTTCAAAATAGTTCTTGTTTAGATCTCTCTATTTTCTCCTTGTTTTTTTTTTACAATCCTTTTCTTGAACTCTTTTTTTTCAAAACTTTTTTATTTATACTTTCCCCAAATATTTTTTTTCATGAATTAATTTCAACCCTTCAGACGGACTCAATATCTCTTTTCTTCAAATTTTTCTGAAATGCAAAAATTTAAAAAAAAAAATTAAAAAAATTTTTCCTTCTATGGAACAATTTGTTTTTAATCTCATCAAAAATAAAAAATCCAAAAGTTCATAAACAAAACTTTTACTGAAAAGATGCCTTTCGTTTCTTATTACATGTGAAAAACTTTTTAAAGACTAACAAATTTCTTCTTCTGTTCGCCTAAAAGGAAAACTTGTTTTCTTTAACCCAAAATGACATGTTAAAAAATTTTCTATCGTAATTTTAAAATGAGTTTGAAAAGGCTTCATACAATTTAAATAATATGAAATATGATATAATGACCTTTGGGAGAAAATTTTGATTCTATCCTAGCCGAAGGAACGATGTAATCATGGGATCATGGTGTTTATGTTTAAAATCTAAAACCCAGAGTGTTCCTCTACAATAGTATCTGAAAATGCGGACAGTACATCTAAATCTTGGAATATTAATTGTCTAATTTAAATAAGTCCATGCAACGTTCCCCATCCATGTTTTTTTCCTTTTAAATTTTTATTATCTTGAATTAAAATATCATCCTGGAAATAGAAGCAAATTTTTAATAATATACTTCAAAAGCAATTTAGAAATATTTTAAATAAATATATATATATATGCATATATATATATATATATATATATATAGCTGGCCACTCGTATTCGAAGATACCTGTCTACTAGGGCGGCTAGCCAATCCCTATTGCAGACGCTTGCTCAGGCGTATTTGTGTTTATTCAACACCCACAGAGCCCACCTGTGGTTCATACTGCAACTATGCTGAGCAGACCTTTACAGTTTCTGGGAAGAGCGTGTTATCTAGCGTGATCAACAGTTTGAGGAAGGCCAGCACCCTCAAGCCCTCGGCCACGATGACTTGTGACTTCGTGCTAGCACAGCTGTTGACAGCCCAGAGGGTTCTGTCTATCAATTTCACTCACAAGGTTTGGGTCAACCTATGGTATGGTTTTTCAAGGCACTTTCCAAAGGTGCCGCATGCTGGGATCGACCCCTCCAGTCCGATAACATCAGGAAGTCTCCTTCCTGACAAATCGCAATAATTATTGGTAAGATTTATAAGAAAATGAACATGAACCCTTAGTACGTAAATAATAATTTAGCCTGCTTTGACGATTCGATACGTATTTTTTTCAATGATCAGGGTTCAAACCAAGTTAAAAAGCCAGCATTTGGGAAAATTTATTTTCCAGAAAAAAAAAACTTTTGATTCTCCCTTATAGTGATAGTGTTGTCCTCTTCTTCACCCCTTTTTTTCTTACATAAATCTGATTTCTCAGATCAATTATTTAATGGCTTCTAAGAATGAAAGATGTAGGTCTTAGTGAGGACCATCTTTCTTTAAACCTCGTGGACTGGTGTTACAGAATCATAAGCAAAGAACTGAACAAATAACAGAAACCACATCCATTGATGACTTTCACTAATAGAAACAACGGAGATGACAGCGCATGCAACTCGAGAGAAAAAAATGAAACATCAAGATTTTTGTCGTTCCACAACTTCGAACAAAAAAACTTAGAAAAAAGAATCAATACTGAAAATAAACAACTTAGCAGTTTTAGAAATCGAGGAACTTGTCTTTATGAAAAAATGTTTTAATAGATATATTTGGCTGTTCCATCAATAAATGCTGAATATTTTCTTATAAGGAAACGATTAATATTACCATTCGATTTCTGTTGTGTGAATAACAAATTTACTGCTTTTTATAGTCTTTATATATATATTGCTTATTGATTTATTCGAAGGATAAGACCAAATAGTGAATCGATGATAAGAATGTATGTGCACAAATCCTAAATCAAGCAACCCTTTTTCAATGTTTAAAATCAACATTCTGATTTTTACTTGGGTTTTGAACACTGATCTCTAACTTATGTTGACATAACATCAAATACTACCAGCCACGACATTTATGCGCATGAATTATTTAGGTATTCTTTTGCCTCTTTTTACATCTTTTTTTTTTTTCTGCTCAGTCTCTTTTTTTTTTCTTTTTTTTTTTTTTTATTTCCATCTTTTTCCTCTTTCTTCAACCCCTTTCTTTTCAATTTTCATTCATTCTTTATTGAGTTACTTTTTTTCAAATTCCCATCCTTCCTTCTCTGCTTTCCTCATTGCCCCAGCACCGTCTTTTTACTTTTAACCCTTTTTTTCTTGTTTTCCTCTTCTGCTTGAAATAACCCCCGCATCTGAAATCTAGATTGTCGGCAACAGCTATTTTATTCAGATACCCAAATCTTCATCTTTTAATCTTCCAAATGTTAGACAATTTATTTTCTGCCTTTTATCGCTCATCTTTCTTTTTCTTTTCTTTATCAATCAATTGTGTGTGGAGCTTTAAACGTCTAAAACCGACAACAAATTATGAAAGTAAATTATTTGACAAATGTTTCCTGTTTCAATCGCAAAATTTTGCAGACCCTTTAATATCAATAAAAAAAAGAACCAATAGTTGAGATTCTCGATCGACTTGAAAAATACTGTTTTTTTTTATGTTTAACCATAGCCTCGTCATCTAGAGGCTTCGAATATTAACTTGGTTTAATCAACTCATTCTTCATTTATATGCCGTCTCTATCCAGGAATATTCATGGTTTTGCCACAGCTTCCTGTTTTTAGTATTACCATCTCTCAGTTTCCGTTTTGTCATCTATTTACATAAACTTTTAGAAAGTTTTGATTTAAGATCCGGCCTTCGACAATATTCTTCTATAACATTTTATGTTCGACATATCTTTTAATTTTGTTTTTCTATGCAAAAATTTTAAACGTATTCATTTTGCCATATTCACATTTCGAGTTGTAAACTCCAGCCTTTTTATGTCTCTAGTCTCAAATATCTGTATATATAACTCAGATGAGGTAAATGATTATCCATTATTTTATTTATTCAGAATGTCCTAATCTTCATTGCCATATTCATGGAATTTTCGGCCATTGTAATGTATATTCCTTTATATCTATCTCTCTATATATCTGTCTATATCTCTCTCAGATGAGGTATTCTGATTTTTGCATTATTTTACATTATTCGGACTATTATCCTCATCTTCATTGCCATATTCATTACACTTCATTTTGTACGCTCCGTTTTTGTCTATGTCTCTCTATATATCTGTCTATATCTCTGAAATGAGGCATTATGATTACTTGCGCATTTTTTATTCGGACTATGTATCCTCATCTTCATTTGCCATATTCAAAGCATTTTCGGCCGTTGTCTCTTCTCATTTATTTATGTCTATGTCTCTATATATATCTATATCTAGTACATTTTTTGAGGGATTAATTTGCATTATTTACATTATTCAGACTAATATCCTCTCTTCATTGCCAAATTCACAACGTTTCGGCCGTTGTAATCTCCGGCCTTTATGTCTATATCTCTCTATATATCTGTCTATATCTCTCAGATGAGGTTTATTAATGATTACTTGCATTATTTACATTATTCGGACTGTTATCCTCATCTTAACCATATTCAAACGTTTCAAAGTTGTACGCTCCGGCCTTTTTATGTCTATCTCTCTATATATCTGTCTATATCTTTCAGATGAGGTATTATGATTAATTGCATTATTTTAAATTATTCGGACTGTTATCCTCATCTTCATTTGCCATTTCAAACATTTCGGCTTGCTTGTACATCCGGCCTTTATGTCCCTATCTCTATATATCTGTCTATATCTCTGGATGATCATGATTACTTGCATTATTTACATTATTCGACTGTTATCCTCATCTTCATTGCCATATTCACAACGTTTCGGCATTGTTCATATAAATATTTATCCTATATCTCTTCATATGATCTATATCTCGAGATATTATAGATTCTACAAAATTATTTATTATTCGGACTATTATCCTCATCTTCATTGCCATATTCATCCAACGTGTTTATCTATATTTGCCTCCATATATATATATCTGTCTATATATCTGTCTATAAGGTTAGATGAAAGTTCATTATTTAACTTATTGGTTTTTATTCGGATTAAATTCATCTTCATTTACCATATTCCTGAAACATTTCTGCCGTTGTACTCTAATCATTTATGTCTATGTCTCTCTAATATATCTGTTTTATCTCCATGAGGGTATTAAAATTACTTGCATTATTTACATTCGATTTTGACTGTTATCCTCATCTTCATTTGATTATTTAAAACGTTTCGTTTGAAATCCTCGCCGTTCTGCATCTCTAGATTCGAATTTTATGTCTATTCTCTCTTTATATTTAAAATTTGAACGTATTTCTATAAATATGAAAAATTTCGTGATTAATTCCGAATTTAATGTTTTTTTTTTTTCTATTAACTCTTTCCTCATCTTCATTGCCATATTCTATGCAACGTTTCAAGTGATTTGCGCTAAAAATTTATGTCCCTCTCTCTATATATCTGTCTATATCTCTATTTTTGATCTTGGAAGGAATTATTATTCAACTATTATGGATCTTTAAAGCCATTTTCCACATTGATTTCGGACTGTTATTGAAAGTATGAGAGGAGTCGATGACTATCTATGAAAGAGGTCTCTGAATTAAATATATTATTCAGAAACAATATCTTCATTGCCATATTCGATATTTATCTCTCTATATATCTATATCTATATCTATATATTGTCTATATCTCTCAGATGAGGCATTATGATTACTTGCATTTTTACATTGTTTTTATATATCCTCATCTTCATTAAATTATTCATAACAATTCGGCCGTTGTACGCTCCGGCCTTTATGTCTATGTCTCTCTATATATCTGTCTATATCTCTCAGATGAGGTATTATGATTACTTGCATTATTTACATTATTCGGTCTATTATCCTCATCTTCATTGCCATATTCACAACGTTTCAAATATGCCGTTTGACGCTCCCCTTTCTCCATATATTTATGTCTATGTCTCTCTATATATCTGTCTATATCTCTCAGATGAGTCTATTATGATTACTTTCATTATTTACATTATTCGGACTGTTGCCTCATCTTCATTGCCATATTCCAACGTTTCGGCCATTGTATCTATTTCTATGTCTCTCTATATATCTGTCTATATCTCTCAGATGAGGTCTTATGATTACTTGCATTATTTACATTATTCGGACTATCTCATCTTCATTGCCATATTCACAACGTTTCCCATTGTACACTCCAAATTATAAATCTATCTCTATTGATATATATGATCTCGAAGATTGAATTCTATGATTATCTTACGATTTTTACATTGTTCGGACTGTTATCCTCATCTTCATTGAATATATTCACAACATTTCGCAAAAACCTTCATCGTTCTACGCTCCGGCCTTTAAAATATTTCTCTCTATATATCTGTCTATATCTCTCAGATGAGGCATTATGATTACTTGCATTATTTACATTGTTCGGACTGTTATCCTCATCTTCTTTGTATTCACAACGTTTCATGCAGAATGTAAAATCCGGCCTTTATGTCTATGAATCTCTATATATCTGTCTATATCTCTGAGATGAAATTATTATGATTAATTGCATTATTTACATTATTCGGACTGTTATCCTCATCTTCATTTGCCATATTCACAACGTTTCGGTCCGTTGTACGCTCCGGCCTTTATGTCTATAGTCAAATCTATATATCTGTCTATATCTCTCAGATGAGATTATGATTATATGCATTATTTACATTATTCGGACTGTTATCCTCATCTTCATTGTCATATTCACAAAATTTTGGCCATTGTACGCTCCGGCCTTTTATGTCTATGTCTCTTCATATCTGTCCTATATCTCTCGAATGAATTCGTATGATTACTTGCATTATTTTCATTGTTCGGACTGTTCCTCATCTTCATTGGCATATTCACAACGTTTCGGCCGTTCTACGCTCCGGACTTTGTCATGTCTGTCTCTCTCTATATCTGTCTATATCTGATCAGATGAGGCATTATGATTACTTAAATTATTTAACTTGTTCGGACTGTTATCCTCATCAAAATTGCCATATTGACAACGTTTCTAAAACTGTTTTTGTACAAAAAACTAGCCTTTAAAATCATTTCTCTTATATATCTGTCTATATCTCTGACATGAGGCATTATGATTAAATGCATTATTTACATTAAACAGAATGAAAATCCTCATCTTCATTGCCATATTCAAATTTTCACGTTCTAAGCTCCGGCCTTTATGTCTATGTCTCTCTATATATCTGTCTATATCTCTGAGATTGAGTTTTATGATTTCTTGCATTATTTTCATTATTCTACAGAAGGATGCTGATTTTTATCATGGACCGATATCTGTCTATGTCTGCAAAATGATGAAGGTTTTTGATTAAATATTTAATTCTACAGAGAAGGATGCTTTGGATATCATGGACCGAATATGTGATACCGAAATGAGGTTTTGGAGAATACATTTTTTTTAGGCCACGTCAGGAAGCTAATTTCTGGGCCACAGAGAAAATGATTTTGGCATATGATACTCTAACCAAATGTGAAAACCTAAGATAAAAAAAGGCAACGGGCGACATATCTGGCAAATGGATTAAGCAAGTGGATGACAGAACAAAATTTGAGAGAAGGGCAACAAGACAAAACCTATTGAAAACTACAAGGATAGGAGAAAGTTGTTATGGTGAAACACACCTATTCTATAGTTAATATCAACTCTCCACCTAATATAAGTAGGTATAAACATAAGAGAAACGACGGTCAGTCGATGTCGGACGACCGGCTGAACGGTTAACTCTCGCCTTCGGACGGGGAGGAACCCGAACAGGCTATCTCCGAAAGGCGGAATCTCGTTCGGGAAGTAAACCGACCCTGAACCTGTTTATACGGTTTTAAAGGGCATATTTTTGGCCGAGCCTACGGGCTCAAGAGATCCCCTATTAAACCGTGCCCCATTGATACCCTCGTGGAGGTGTGACTAAATACTAGTCATGTCGGACGACAGTTAGTCGAATTCAGTATCACATTTTAACAACAAGATTACTCTGCGTTATACCTATTTTATTCATCAAGTTCCTAACGTCGAACCTATTTAGTACCGATTATGTACAAATACAAGCCTCCACTACGAAATAACTCCACAACTAAAGTGGAGAGCCATGATCATCCTGAAGGGATACGGCATATAATCTCTTTTATTTTCATTTTTTTCTCTTTATTTATCTTTTTACCATCCGCCGTCTATCCAGTGTTGTTTTATTCTTTTTCCATCCTTCTGTTTTTTTTTTTCTTATTCGGTTTTTCTTATCTGTTTTTCTCCTTCTTCCTTCTCTTTCAATTTTCTCTCTTTCATTGTTCTGCTTTACTTTTTTTTCTCTTCCATATTTCTATTTTCATTCCTCCTTTTCTTTCCTTCGTCCGTCTAATTTCGTTCTTTTCTTTTCAATGTCGTTTATTTATAATTCTGTTCTAGTTTTATTATTCATCTATTTTCTTCTTAAATCTTCATTCTCTTTCCGGATTCTTCTTTTTCATTTCTCTTTTTCTTTCTCACCTTTTCAATTTCCAACCCTGTCGGCTGGAGCTTCAGAATATACTGACTGCATCTCTGCAGAGGAGTAAGACCCCCACCCTCATACACACACCAAATAAGGGATACTTGGTAAGACGATAAAATGCATCCGCATCTTGGGTAATACGATAAACTACATCCGCGGCCTGGGTAAGACGATAAAAACACCCGACAGAAAAGCCTCTAATCAGGAGGTTTTGAGGAGCGTGGACCACCTCTTAATTGGTGGTAGCACCTGTTAGGGTCCCAGCTACAAGCAAATATTTAAGACCAAACTAGGGTCAATTAGTATGAAAGAAATATAAAAAACAGGTTTTTAATACCAGCAATATATATATATATATATATATATATATATATATATATATATATATATATATATATATGAACATTTCTCCGATTTAACCAGCAGAAAAAATAGTTATGAGTTTAAAAATTCAATAGGAAAACTAGTAATTTTACAACGTGAACACATTGGTCAAAACGCGTCAGTAATTATAGTTTTCCTATTGTCATTTTATTCATATATATATATATATATATATATATATATATATATATATATATATATATAAAAACATATAAATTTGCGGAGATGTTTAAAACTCAGTATATATATATATATATATATATATATATATATGAAATAATAAAAATACATTTTCCACGCTTGTTGAACACCTGAGCACATTTGAAAACTAACTGGTCAGTTTCCAATAAATATAAATAATGATAATGATATAATTAATAATATTAATAAATAACTATTCAATTCATATTCAAATAATATAAATTCAGTTTACATATATTCTATAGTTCCTTTATTCTACATAGAGCATTAGTTATTAACAGCAGTACTCAATGTGCATTATTATAGATTCATATATATATATATACATACATATATATATATATATATATATATATATAATATTGTGGACAATATTATATATATATATATATATATATATATATATATATATATATATATATATATATATATATATATAAAATTATTGATCTATCCTAATCCTTTCTTCTATCACTCCTATCTGATCTTGCTCTAAATTTTCTTTAACCGTTTGCGTCCTAGTGGCTGCCCGCCTTGCTTGGGGTGAAATGCTTAAAAAAAAAAAAAAATATATATATATATATATATATATATATATATATATATAAATTTCAAAGAGATAGAATCCATGTAGAACTCAGGATCCAGGACAGAATAAGAATATAATATAAAAGGCTCAAACACTAATATTCCATGGTTATAATTTATTACATTGGAATCGTAATCACGATCCTGTTCATCAGACCTTCATGATTACGATTCCAAAGTAATGAATTATAACCATAGAATATTACTGTTTTAGCCTTTTATATATATATATATATATATATATATATATATATATATATATGATAGTGATTGCAAAATAAATCCAATCGACACCATCACTTGATAAGACACAAGTAGTGTTGAAACAAAATTGCAATTTTTTGTAGTGCTGTTATAAAATGACTATGTAATGATTTTGAATAAATATTTTTTACTCTACTCGGTATTGAGCACTCATTTAAAAATAGTGTTTTTGATTATCGAAATTTTATTACATCTCTTCCAACCCTGTACTTATATATATATATATATATATATATATATATATATATATGTGTGTGTGTGTGTGTGTGTGTGTGTGTGTGTGCGTGCGTGCGTGTGTGTGTGTGTGTGTGAGAGAGAGACAGACAGAAAATGCTACGTAGGCAACTTAAAATCAGTGTCCTGGCGTAAAGATAGCGTACCTACCTAACAAACGAAGGCTAAACGCGTTGTCGAGTTTTTGTTCGGATTCTATAGCCTACTAACAGATAAACACAGAAAGACAAAGCAGACTCAATATCTATATCTGGAAGGCTCCCCCTCTCTCTCCCTCTCTCTCTCTCTCTCGCTGTTTCATCTTCAAGTGAATTTTGGAATAATAGTTATTCAAAAATTCGCTTGAAGATGAAACAGAACTAATGCTTTTAATTTAATTATATAATTAAATTTTAAGTTTTTAGCTTCGGTTTTTGAAACATGGTAATTCCTGTGTAGCGAAGAAACTATATTTTAAATCATTTTATAATGTTTATGCTCTGTAAATTTACATTAAGCTCTGTTTTATAAAAATAAAAATATCAATTAAGAATACCGGATGATATATCTTACTGTTCTTTCTTTATTATGGTATATATATATATATATATATATATATCAGAGAATTGAGGAAGATAGATAAATAGATAGGTAGATAGATAGATAAATGGAAATGTCCTAAAGGAGTTTCAAGTCAACCCTACCTAAAAGTTTCACCTAAACGGATCTTCAAGGGTGAAAGCCGGCTCCAAATATCTGAAAATCCGTTTAAAAATAATAAAAGTTGGTAGGTTTGTGATTTCTAGTTTATCTTCATTATATTAGATTTTGCTCTGCTTATGATAGTATTGAAAAACTTTTACGTAGTTGTCTTTTTCTTCTGTTTTGAAGGGTTTTTTTTTCATTTGAACTTGGATTCTTGAACACTGAACGATTGTTTTTGCCTTGGGAAGGGTGAATGTTCTTGGGTCTTTCTTTTTTATTTCAATTTTCCTTGGGAAAGATTTGTTCCGAGAATGCTGTTTGAAGAACGATAAAGCTATCCGAAAAACCCTTTTCAAACAAGGAAAGGCTATATATATATTATATATATATATAGAGAAAAGAGAGAAAACTGTTATAGATAGAAAATAAATAGATATATGCCTATTTTATATCGATATAGATATATCTGGCTATCTAGTTATAAAGGTCAAATTAATCTCTTCCTTGTAAATATGACGTGTTGGACCGCTTATTGCCATCCATCTCGCAATGGAAAACCCGGAGAAGAAATCGGGCTCGGCTGAGAAAAACCGTTTTGAATGATGCTGATGTCATAATGACGTCACGTGACATCCCGCCCCGAGGAAGCCATGAATCACTCGGAGACTTGTCCTTTATTTCAAAGCCAGGGGATTAATGTCGAAGTAATCGATGCAAATGATCATTTTATCCCCAGGGCTTCTTCATCCACGCACACCCTTCCAATCCGCGGCCTTTGCCATTCTCCTCTTCGTCGCGTTCTCTCGATTTGAAAAAGACAATATTTTTCTCAGACAGGCGTTTTCTCAAAGGGCAGCTAGCTGAAGAAATCTAGAAAGGAAGAAAAGGATAATAGGAGAAATATGAACAGAACAGAACAGATACTGGAATAGATAATGATAAATAGCTAGATAGATAGATAGATGAATAGATAGATAGAATTATTGTCATTTAGTCTGAAATAGATAGATAGATAGATTTCATTCGAAAAAAAAATAAATAGATGCCATAAAAATTAAAGAAAAAATTGAAATAGATACATAGATAGATAGAATAATTGTTGAAGAATAAAATAGATTGAAATATCATAAAATAAAAGAATAGATAGATAGATACGATGATTCTAGAAATGATACTGAAATAGATAAAACTAGAATACTAAAATGAATGTCCTGAATATAAATAGATAGATTATGAAAAGACTGAAATAGATAGATAAATAGATAGATAATGAAAAACAAAAATATAGATTGATAGATTGATAGATAATAAAGAGACTGAAATATATAATGAAAGATCTGTGACATAATAAAAAGGCTGTGAAAGATTTTCAAAATACTGAAATATCTAGATAGATCGACAATGCAGAGATAATGAAATAAAAAAAAACACAATTTTTTTTGTTTTTATTTATATATATATATATGCTAGATGAGTCTATAGATAAATTTTTGAAAAAACTGAGATAGATATATAAAACTAGAATAGATAGATAGATAGATAATGATGTTTTTGTAAACAGACATAGATGCATAAAGAAAAAGATTTTTTTTATATATGCATACATATATAGATACATAGGCTCTGATAGCCAGATAGACCATGTCTCGTAGATGCGAACAGAGTGAGATAGATAGATAGATAGATAGATAGATAGATAGATAGATAGATATTGCCAAAACTAAAACAGATATTGAAAAGACGGAAATATATAGATAGTTAATAAAAGATTTTAATAGATATATATATATATATAATATATATTTTCTGGTCGCCTGATACAAGATGGTCTCAATTGTTTTTAAATGTTTATTTCACATTTGACGTCTTTGATTTTTTCAGGTGTGATAGAAATTTATTTTTACTAAAGTAGATCATCTGGACGAACGCTTGTATCCAAGGGGTTATATTATAGTCACCGTTTTCATATTAGATTGATGGATTGAACTTTCTGACACAATACGTGATTTACATTTAGTTCCACTATGGTGACATTAAATTTGCACATTTAATTTTTCACTTGATAATTCCTTCTTTTTCCTGATTTTCATTATTCCTAAATTAAAATCATTATTAATATTTTTATTCTTCATATAATATTAATTCTATGAACGATATTTGCATTCATTCCTGACCACTGACAATCCCTTTCTTTCTTATTCATTCATTGCTATAGTAAAATCATTAGCAATACAGTTACAAAATGTTTGAAAAAACTCTCTTTCACAATAACTGTTGATGCTTCGTGTTAATAAAGAGATAGAGCTATTAAACCCCTAGTCTACCCAATTTTACACACAAGGCTAGGGTCAACTCAAAAAATATGATTTTCAAAACTTTCTAAAGGTAACTCAATGATTTAAAGATATTTATAGTTTCATTTTATACTTTTTCAAACGTATTTCCTATATAGATATAATAACCCATTATTTTTATTTTTGATAATAAACATCTATTCAATGTTCCTCACAGCCAACATCTTTTGTATAACGCCTCATTTTAAATATTTTATAATATAATTCAAAAAAAAATAGATTGAATTTAAAAATTTATTTAATCATTGTTCTTCCTTTTATTTCGATTTTATCATTAATGCTTTAATCATAAATCCTTTCCATTATACGGGCATTAATTCCTATTCTTTCTAATTTGATAATTTATTATAAAAAAAAAATGAACAATATAATGAATTTCCATTTATATATTTAATATACTATAATTATATATCAATAATATATATTCATTCCTGACCACTGACAATCCCAAAATTGTTTTTTTTTAATGTTCATTTATTTAGTAAAATCATTATGCAATTGTTTCCATTATTTTTAAAATAATAGTTTCATTCTATCAGTAATGTCTTAGGTTCATTCCTTTCACTGATTAAAAAAAATCTTCCTGATTTCTTCAATTCAATGTCCTATATATTCTCGATATGAGAAAATTTGTTTTATATTTATAATATCCGATTCTATCAGTATGGATTTGATTCATTCCTGACCACTGACAATCAAATATCCTCATTTTGAAATGTGTTGCTAAGTAATGGAATTAGCAATATATTTCTATTATATGTTATAACATTTTGCTCGATTATAAAATGTGAAGGTATTGTGCAACCAGACCATCCACGCTTTTTTGAGGGAACTCATTCAGAGATCTGGTGCACTACGTTGGCTATTCCTTCCCAAACAACCCTCCGATTCTTTGAATTCAGAGTTGTCCTTCTCTAGACCAGTTGCCATCAAGGCTATTTTTCTATTTTTTTCTGTCCTTTTTTTTTACCCATAGATGGGTAGAGATGAAAAAATTTGTTCATGTCCTTTCCCAAAAGGGTTTTGTAGAAATGCATTCTTTATATTAATGGATTTTTTAAATTCATTAACTTTCTGATTCCTTTATCCGAGCCGCTTTTTTTTTTATTTTCCGTCCTTTAAAATGTTAATATATATATATATATATATATATATATATATATATATTATATATATATATATATTAATTCATTGATGTTCCTTAAATGTTGAATTTGAATTTGATAAATTCATAAATAATTCTATTGGACATGTCACTACATTGCTATCAAAAAATCTCTTTGAGCGTATTTCAAATTAGAACACATTTGGTCACATTTTTGAAAGCTATCTCTTAAAATTACATCCCATACAACTTTGTAATCAAATCATATATACATTCATATATTAAAAAATATTATATATTATTGGATATCCACAATAAAAAAAGAAAAACCAAAACTCAATAATATCAATTATGAACACGGTCACAATGTCCTTTGTTGTTTCGGAAAAAAAAAAATTTTTAGATAACTTTATTATACATACAAAAAAATCTACAAATTCATCTAGAACTGAAAATAAAAAGAAATTAAAAAGCACGCGAATATATAGAACATTCGGATATATTTTTATATTAATTATAGCCCAAAAAGAATAAACTTGAAAACTATTTAAAAAAGCATTTTCGTTATCATAATTTCAGTTGTCTTTAACAGAATAATGGTCAATATATATATATATATATATATATATATATATATATATATATAATATTTATATATAAATTTATTTGTGCATTTGATTCCAAATCGCTAATATGGTCTCTTGTTTCAAAACAAATTTCAAAAATCGATTTGAAAAAAAATTGAGTTTAAATTAAAATGGGCTTCGTTTCATCTTCAAATACGAAATTTTTGTTGGAATAATGTATTTCTGAGAATTTACTTGTTTTAAAAAATGATTTCAATTTTAAAATATAAATGTAATTAAAAATGGATGTTTATTGCGCCTAACAAGTAAATTTTCAGATATACGTTATTCAACAAAAATTATGTTTATAGATGGAACGGTAATTAATTTAATTAAACAATTTAATTTAAAATATTAACCACAAAATTTAATAAGTTTAAAAATTTTAGATCCAATTTTAAAAAAATTGGAATGATTTATTTTATAATCGAAAATTATATTAAAAATAATATTTGTATCCAATACAAAATTTTTATATAAATATATATATATATATATATATATATATCCTATATATTATTTAAAAAAATAGTTCCTTCCTGTTTGCTTTTATATATTTTCACATATATATATATATATATATATATATATATATATTATATATTGTTTCGGATGATTAATCAAAATTACAAAATAATTATATATAGGCCACACTACAACATGTTTGACACGCAGACTCACTCTACACCTTTCTGACCATAGCTCAATTAGATCTCATTTAAATATTCATGGAGACATACCGGACACTATTCGTAACATACTTGTTGACAACACTAATATAATAGCATCATCTACATGCAAAAAAGAGGCTAAAAATTATGGAAGCCTTATTAATAAAAACAAAAAAAAACAACACTTAATAATATTAATTTTGAACATGGACACAAAATATTGACCGTGTTTTTGAAAAATGAAAACATTTTATAAAACATGTATACACCAAACTATTTCTTATTTAACAGTTGAAATATTTAATCCTTGAAAATGGCTAAATGTATAGCCGAAATCGCTCGGATAAAAAGAACATTCGGACAGTTTTTGTATAATTTATTATCGTAAAGAAAAAATTATTAGATCCCATGAGAAATTGTATAAAAAAACTAAATAAAAGCACCTTGTCTGTCGTATTCAATGAAATGTGCATGAAAGAAGGATTGTATATATATATATATATATATATATATATATATATATATATATATATATATATATATATATGTATGTGTGTGTGTGTTGTGTGTATGCGTGTGTGTTTAGGCAGTCAAGTATTCTTTCAGAACGCCTGATTGAATAATTAAAGATTTTATTCTGAAATTTTAACATAAACGTTTCATATTCACGTGAAATATGAGAGGATTATGATAAAAAATAGACATACATAATTTATTCAATCATACATATTTTATTGTTATCCGTTATTTATATCGACACAGATATTTAAGTAAATGATTTATTTACAATTAATAGTATTAAGATAGAAAACATGCATCCTCCAACAGGAATCGAACCTGTATCTTACACAGAACCGTCATATAGCCTGACGTGCAATAGCAGTTTAGCTACGAAGGTGCGTCTGGTTACCGAGATCGATTTTACTTTTTATTAAAACTGGTATAGCAAGTCAGGCTATATATCGATTCCAAATAGGATACAGGTTCGATTCCTGTCGGATGACGCATATTTATTAGGAAATTTCTCGGTCATTCAAATCAGTAAATGTTGTTAATACTGTTTATTATAAAGAAAACATTTACTTAAATATTTGTGTCTATATAAATAAATAAAATGA